GTGGGGAGAGGTTACATGCTAATCATTTCTGGGAGTTAAAAGGAAAAGGGTTAAAAAAATTTAAAAGTAAAAAAACTTTACTGATAGCATTTGAAGCTTGAGTGCAAATTGAAAATTAAAGGTTGAAATAGAACTTAAAGACATGGCCAAATTCTCATAACAAACGATAAACCTTCATGAGGCTTAAAAGTCATGTCATTCTATGGATCGTAGACTTTTAAATCGCGGATTCAATGAACGTGCAGCTCGAAGGATCGCATTTGTTTTTCGGGCTGTACTGAACGAGAACTTTCTGGTAGGGATTTGTTTTATTTGTGCTGGAAAGCGCCACAAAGGAATAGCTAGTGAGTAATAGATCTGCTAAGACGATCCAAAATAATCATGGACAAGCGAAAAACAGGTAGTGGGCCTTTTGGAGGGAATGGGCCATTTTTCCCCAGAGCCCAGCTTTTTTCCACAGCTCGCTTCATTTGAATCGTCCTCAGCTTGCTTTGAGTTCTTACCTTGCCCTCTCTTTCTTTTCCAAAGCGGTCTGGGCTTGAAGTTGGTTGACGTAGCTCTTTGTATCTTCTAACGAGCTGACAGAGTTATTCAACATCTCCTCCAAGTGCATTGTTTTCTAATTTGAATATAAAAATATTTCCATCAACCGCGACCAAAAATTAAGACGATATGTCAACAATTATTGTCTCTGAAGTGGGATATGAAAGGATTTTATTTAGATAGTAGTTTTGAGAGGGTCTACCAAAGGCTGTAAGAGGTAGGGACCACAAGTAACACATGCTCTTTATGAAAAGTACATCTGTACAACGTTGTTATTGCGCATTAGAAGCAATTTAACGATTTGAATGTTGAAAACGGTTGCATGTCGAAACAAAAAGAGGTCAAGATTTTAAAAATTTTAAAAAAAGGCTGACGATGCTACATTAGACTGTAACTCTGTCTCCGGTGTGACTTTTAAGTTACTTCAAAGAAATAAGGTCGGTGTTAAGTTCCCGCGCATTTTCAAATAAAACCTTTAAAATCTGCAGTGTTAAATCAAGAAAGTACTGATAGATGTACTCCAATATCGAGCTTGGGCCACTTGTGACAGAAACAAGAGAGACTGAAGCTAAGGCAGTGTATGGGATTCCCTATTTGTGGCCAAAGGGAGTCCATGTGAAGTTAATTTTAGTCTCAAATCACCTGATCTCCCCGAAATCATCCATCGGTAGGAAGAATTATCCTGGCTCGTTTTAAAACGGACGTGCTACAACATGCTACAATGAGCAACATCAAACACTGCGTTAAGACAACCTCCACGTCAAGCCGTGAGCTATGGTCAGCTTTGTTGCACTAACCTGAAAAAGTTTCTCATTTTCGCTCTTGATGTCTTGTTCCGTTTCGTGCTTCTTCTGAATTTCGTCTTCAAGCTGAAAAGAAGAGATGAAGGTTGTGTAACAAAAAAAAGAAAGCGGTTTAACGCAGCCCTGGAGCTTCAATTTTCATCTGTCTTGCAAGAATGTTCATTAATTAAATCATTAGAAAAAAAGGTTGATTTAGGAAAGAGTCCTTCAACTTGTTGGTCTCTTCCACTTGAGCGAATCGGCTTATCGAGAAGCTACACCAGCACAGGTAACCACTGAAAATTTTAAAGTTCCTCTGACATTTCACTCCAAGATAGTAGGTCTTGCCTAAACACGTGACACAATGAGCTTGTTACGTCTCAATGAGCTTGTTACGTCCCCTTTTGATATTTGTGCACTAGAGATACAGCTCCACGAAAGTAAGCTCTTCTATTAAATCAATTCCTATGCGACAACGTTGACCTCCATGGCGCTGCCCCTTCTCTTTCGAAATATTCTGTGCACTCAAACAACACGCATCGTTTCTCTCCCTTCCCCTCCCTATACACAAAAAACGCCCTTCCATGTCCTACACTGTCCTGTTTTGGCTCTAATAGGAAGTCTTCAGGGCGTGAAACAGGCGCTTGAGGAAATTAACGCAAACTCTATGACGGAAAACCATAATAAAAAAAATTAATAAATTAACTCACCGATTTTTGTTTCTGCATGAGAAGCTGCATTTCCAACTCTTTGTTTTCCAACTCTTGGACAAGCTCATCTTTCAAAGCCTTCTCCCGCTTTATTTGCTGTAAAAACACGAAATTGAGAAACCTCAAAATTTCAAAAAACCTCACGAGCCAAATCACTCTTTAATCCTTTCAGTACCATACCCTAACATCAGTATGCATATTCTCTATACTGTTTCCTATACATTTCCTAAGAAGCTGAAAAGGAGAATTGTTTCCAACAATCAAAAGCCCATTGCTTTGATGATCATTTCCTTTATTCTCGTGACCTTAATGTGTAATTCAGGAGTGATATTGTGAGGAGAAATTAGATGCTGGTCACTCTTACGCTGATCATTTCCTTTATTCTCATGACCCTAATGTGTGATTCAGGAGTGATATTGTAAGGAGAAATTAGATGCTGGTCACTCTTACACTGATCATTTCCTTTATTCTCACGACCTTAATGTGTCATTCTGGGGTGATATTGTAAGGAGAAATTAGATGCTGGTCACTCTTACACTGATCATTTCCTTTATTCTCACGACCTTAATGTGTCATTCTGGGTGATATTGTAAGGAGAAATTAGATGCTGGTCACTTGTCTAATTTTTGAATTAATTCACTAGTGTTTTTAACGTGTAGTGACCTTTTGTATTTATATTGTATTAGCTTTAGATTTACTTATATATTTTTTTAGGCAAATATAATGTTACTATAATATTACAATAATTTAATGTAGGCTTTGTAACTGAAAAACCCAGCTTGGGAGTTGCAATAAACATATGTATGTATGTGTGTAT